GGGGGAATTTTATTTATTTATTTTTATTTTTATTTTATTTTATTTTTTGCAAGATTTGGAAGTAAAAGTGTTAATTTTTTTATTTATTTATTTTTTTGTTCTAGGACATTCTGGTAGGTAAATTAAAAGAGAGAGGGAGAATTTTACAGGTGAACCTAACAACAGAGAATAAGAAAGAAGTCAGCTCTGTTCTCATTGAATGGGATCTATCAGCTGCAAACCTGCAAGAATACGTCCTCTCACGAAAAGAGCAATATTATTCACAAGAGTAGAGGGCGGGGAAGAAGTAGAATCCTAATAAATTTCTCCATCTTGAATGTAGTCTGACCTTCATGTCTCTGTCTTTCTCTTCAGCCCTCTATTCTGCTCTCTCTCTCCCTCTCTCTTTCTCCACTCATCCCTCTTGTCTGTGTAAATCTGAAGGTTTGTGCATGTGAATTTTCTTTCCCCTCCCTTCAGGCATTAAATAAAAATGCTAAGAGGAGTTTGTGTTTTTCGTTGCTATGCATGCATGTGAGTGTGAGTGTTTCTTCTCGCAGCCTGGGCGGTATCTGTGTTATTGGTTTAGCCTTTTCAGGGCCTGGGTAATTAGATCAGACTGCCTCTCCCCGAGACTCGAACCGAGCTCTAAAGTGACAGTTGGGAGCGCGATTGTAATTTTCTGCTCCTCCCGGTAATTGAAGACTGGGATTTGGCAGGATTGGGATGCACTATATTTCCAGAGAATATGAAGTAAACAACACCTTCGCCCTCCCTCCTCCGCAAGATCCCCAAAAATAACACTCGCCCACTCGTAAACACCCACCCGCAGACATGCGTAGATCCTGCACACACACACATGCATGCACACATCCAATATCCAATGCCTCCGGCTAACTAACAACCGACTAATCTACTTGTGTTCCCCAGGTGGAGTGTAACAATTAGTTCAGTTGGTTCAGCACAAATCCACACTCACCTTTGAGGGCAATAACAATACTTTGGACTCTTATTATGCAGGGGCTTAGCGAGCATTCTCAGCATGACATCTTTACCAGAGATTTACAAATTAGGGAGAATGGATTTTACACCAACAGTAATGTATACCTTTGAATAACATTACATCTCTATAAGGGTTTTTTTTATTGGGGTTTAATTAGTTATGCACAAAGTGCTTGTGCATAACTGTGGGGAGGGAGGATGAGGAACCTTTGCTGTGTTCACTCATTACCTGATTTATTAAAGGTCTAATAGATGCCATCTCCCAGCTAAATGTTCTGCAAAGAACACCTGCTTTAGTTTTACTAGAACACAAAGTTGCATTTCCATAAGTTATATGAACTTAATAAAGGAAATATAGTTCTCATAACTGCAACAAAAGGTACATATGAACCTATGCAGAGGCTCCTTCCTACATATAGGCATTGTTTTACTCTGCATGATTTCCCTTGATAACGTTGCACAGTTGCCAAACTGAACCTGGAGTAACCAGAATGAGATCACAATGACATTATGGATGTGTCTTTGTCACAGGTCGCTCTCTTTACATGCAAAATCAAGACTTTGCTGTAAAACAAATTAAAGCGACATTTTAATCACAGACAAAACATGTTACAGTTTTCCCATTTGTTTTGGTATTTAATCACATGAAATCCATCCGCAATGAAACAATTTCCACATTTTGACTCTCGTAGAGAAAAATATGCTTCATGTGCAACTCTTTAAAAGCTATGCAGCTTTGAGAAAAGGGAATGTTAAACTCTAATACCTAAATGTATTTTTTATTTGTACAACTGTTGTACGGAGATGCACATAAATGTAGTAGCTTCACAATCAAGCAAAATCTCAAGACTATTCCTTTGAAATCTATTTGTCAAACTGAGACTAGATTGAAATGGCAGATCACAGACTGATGTGCTAAAATAATTTAAAAACTCTGCATGTTTTTTCATTAAGTTCACAACTTCATGGGCGGTTGCTCAGGGCATCACTAGAGGAGGGGGCGTACAAACAACATATTGTAAAAGCATTGTATTTATTATTTGCAAGCTAAGTAAAATTTGTATTGTCTTTCATGCTTGAGCAGGCACTCCCAATCGCTGCTTAGAGCAGAAAAATCAGTCTGTCTTTTTTTATTTTTTGTCTATTGCACTAAACTCAAGTTGAGTGAGGTGCAAATTGTGAGCATTATGTTTAGCTATGCACATCCAGGAAATTTTAAGAAAATATGCTTTTGCAGACTAGCCCATAGTAGGGTTTGGTGGCAGCAAATGGAGAGGCTGTTACTGTCCGGTGGCTGGTCTGCCCAGGTTTGTGTTGTGGAGTTCAGAGGGTGCAGGCTGACTCGCTGTCTGTACTCGCAGTCATCAAATAAAACCCGGACCAAAACCACAAACCAAATAATGAAGGATAGCACTGACAAGGGTTGCAAATCGAAATGTAGCGAATATATCTCCCTGCTGCACAGATGCACTCATTTTTCACAAAGCATTTGCGATTCAGGTGGGTCGCACCGCATTTTTTGACAGACGTGCAGAACTACGTGCTCGGGTTACATAACTAAGAGAAACTGTTACAAATTGCATGTTTCAATTGCAAAAACAAATCTAGCAATGAAAGATCTGCTGCAGTGCAGATGCTTAAATTTTTTAAGCAGTCTTCTGCACAAGAGGAGCATCGGAGTCTAAAAGAGAATGAGTGAAGAGTGCTATTTTGAATTAACAACAATAACTTCTAAGACACATACTCGAACGAAGCTAGTGACAGATCAGAGAAGACGGCAGTGCACTGATGGACGGGTTGTGTTTGGCTGTGCAGGCATTTGCTACATATAAACACTGTGTGTTTGTATTGAAATGCTACATTATTGATTGTAAGTGATCAATTATGGATTACAGCCTCCTCACAGGCATCGGAGTCCAGCACCAATAAAGAGATATTGTGTAGATGGGCTGGACCACTGTTCACGATCACGCTCAGTGCTGCTGTTTGCACTGGCCGTATTTATTATTGATCACAAGTTATCAATTATTGAAATTGATGAGCATCAGGGATATGAAAGTCTGCAAAGTAAAGAAGTAACTTGCAGCTTGACCCTTGCTTTACTTGACGAATGTGGATAAGTCATAACGGAGTCGCCACTGCAGCTGGATTCCCCAGGTACAGATGCAGGTCTCACTGGTCCTCAGGAGGTCCTGGACAGTGACTCTAGGACCTTCTGTCCTGCATCGTTTACGTCGTTCCCTGTTTCCACACATCTAATTTAAACAAATAGCCCGCTGACAAGATTCAGCGTAAATTGAAGCAATACTCAGGTGAACATTTTGCCATTTGACTTAGGTCTGTTGGAGCAATATCACATCTTAAGCATCCCAATCAGTGAATGTTTGTTGTCTTTAACCAACACTGCTTTTAAGGGTCAGCTCTTGGTCATTAAAAAAAAGCATTTATTAAAGAGAAAAACTGCAATAAAATGGTTCAATAATTGATTTGTTACCAGATGCCTTCTAGGACCCCCATGTACAAAACAAAATATAGTAAGAGGCTCATAATATGGATGTATTTACAACACAGAAGTGGTGCACACAACGCTGCCAACAACTAACTTGTTATTTGGAAAATTAAAAAAAACATTTTGAATTTTTGTTGGAAATAACCTTTTGATTCATTTTCGAGTAATTGACCTTGGCGATTTGAGAACTTGTACAATCATGTTAATGTGCATAAGATCACTGCAAAAGTTTTGGTAACACTTTATTTGACGGGGTGTGCATAAGACTGACATGACACTGTCATAAACATGACATAACACCTGTCATGAACATGAATGAGTCTTTATGAATGTCTACGACTGTTGTCATGACGTGTTGTTAGGTAAATAATGACACTTTTAATGCAAAGTTTCTTTAAAAGTTGCATTAAAAGTCCATTAAAAGTGACAACTTTGCATTATTTTGCAAATAATGACACTGTAATGCAAAGTTGGCACATTCAAGACTCCTTCATGTCCATGACAGATGTTATGTCATGTTTATGACAGTGTCATGTCAGTCTCAAGACCCCGTCAAATAACGTGTTGCCAAGGTTTCAAACAGCACTATGTTCAATTTTATAAATATCTGACAAGAAAAAATTCAACTAGTGAGGTTTTACAAATGTACACTATATGCTCACCATGTTACATGTGAACCACAGTTGGACACAGACAGGAAAGAGAATTACACTATAATCACTGGAAAGATGATGGAAAAAAAACATTTTTAACTGAACAAAAACAGGATTAAATAATCATATATTGCAACAGTGTTTGCAATTGTGTATGATTTGGCCCCGACATCTTTAAATATTGTCAACATATAAAATGAAAATGTATCAAGGAGAGCAGGCAGCAGGGGAGGCAGGCTGAGAGGGCAGACTTGGAAAAATGAATGAAGGAACATGGCATCCTATAGATAGCTTACTGTACTTATAAAAACAGCCTTTTTTCAAAATAACAACCTTGTTGGATAACAAGACCTCTGACTTTCCCAGTTATAATGCTATCGAAAGAAAATGTTCTTATTTTTGGCTGATTTCTAAATACAAAGAGAATGCAGCAAAAATCTCCTCTTGACCTCTTCTCTCATACACACAGTCAACAACTCCATGAACACTGTTTACTTAAGCAAAATTATTTGCTCTGTGATACACATAATTTATTACTTTCAGTTTGTTTAGTTAGAACAAAAAAAAACAAAAAAAAAACAACAATTGGCAAAATAAATGATGTTAAATGCCCTGTAATTACTACCTTTTCAAGTCAGAGGACTCCAAAGCGCTTTACACTACAGTCAGTCATTCAGGCACACGTTCGCACACTGATGGTGGTAAAGCTACCCTGTAGCCACAGCAGCCATGGGGCAATCTGCCAGAAGCGAGGACGCCACCGAGCCTTCTGACCACCACCATTGTTATTGGTTATGAAATAAATTAGGAGAGAAGTCATCTAAAAAGTTCAAATAAAACAGGCGCAGCTGACTCACCGGAGCCCGTAGAGCACCGTCCCATCGGGGTGGAGACGGATCATCCTGTTCTTGACTGTGACGCCGTGAACAAAGGACTTCTTGTCATTGAGGAAGTAGGTGTCAGGGACCCAGAGCTGGTCGGCCACCCGGTTGTCCAGCGTCAGGTTGTAGGCGATCTCTGAGTACGAGAGGCGCTTGTCCCGCCACGCTTGTTGGAAGTACATGGTCAAAGTGTAGTCCTAGTGAACACAAGAGGGAAGGCAGGAGTTAGAGAAGTCAGAGAAAGGTTATAAATAAAGGTCATAATAAATACTGGTGATTATACATGCATTATTAAATAATTTCTTGTCATATGCTACCACTACCATGTAATGGTAGCATAATGCTAAGGGTCTATTACACTGTCAGTGACAATGGTGCATAACAAGCAGTGGAAGACATTTTGAAGCCCAAAATGTTTTCTACTCTAACACAAAACAGCAGTTTAAAGTATCTTATATTTGGTTAAAAGTTATCTGTGGACTATGTTTGAAAGTCGGGTTTGTGCCTGGAAATCAAGGCTCTTGATTTTCAGTCCCTGCTCGGAGGTGAACTTCATGAACAGGCTGACAGCTTTCAAAGGCTCAGCATATTAAGTTTTGGCTTAAATGAATGAACCCAATTTCTGTTGTCCACAAAGACAATGCTCCTGCTAAACACATATCTGCAGCTGGGTCCCCTGCTGTCTGGTTTTACATAACAATCAGCCCAAACCATAGGATGGCCATTGTCTTTTCATGCACTTTCAATTCCCATCTCCCTTCTGTCTGAGATTTCTCCCATTGAGCTCAATTTCTCTAGTTGCGTTTCAACCAGGCCAGTCGGGCGAACTGAAAGAAAAGTGTTCTGTGCTGCTTTAGTCTGCCTGTAGCTTTAGCCACGCTTCCAACTTTTCAGGCAATTAAAGTCAGAGCGAGATGAATGACATTTTACAACTGACAAAAATGTTGTGGTCTTCCTCCTCACATGGTTGTTTACAGCTCACCTAATTTCTGGGAAGCTTCATTGAACTGTCTTGCAGAGGTATCGGCCAAACATTTGCAAATGGGCAAAATCAGATTCAATCGTTTAATGTTTCCAGAGTTCTCGCCTCCAGCAAGCAATCATTTCTCAATAGCTGAGGGTCCAGACCTTCTGCACGAAGCAATGCGTAGAACAAGGGAGTGTTTTTTTTTTTTTTTTTACCAGGCCACCCAGACTGCTGAGATCCTGGGAGAGTTTCCCAGACTCGACCTTAGTGGTGGACAAGCAGCTTTCATATTGTGCAGCTCGTTTTCACACGTGCTCTGAGGTGTGTTATTAAACTATGCCTCCTCCTCTCCTCAGTCTTTAAAACAGACTCACACCCACACAGTCACAGTAAAACACAGCACTGCAGTCGGATCTGTTTGGTTACGCTGTGTTGCAGTGCAATCACTGAGTGGGAAAACACAATAAAAAGTACAGTCCGTGAAACAAGGCCCTTGAGCTTTAACTCCATCATCATTACTTATCACTATGTTTCTATGTTTCCAGGGATTTTATGTCTGTCCGAGACACACTGGCATGACTCTGCAAGGCAATTGCCACTTTCGCTCTTAAACTCTCATCTTTGATTGCATGCAGCATGCACAGCCAAAACACTGCGTAAAAAGGCCATCTAAAAATACACGAGTTGCTGCCATGTCGATTTTTTTGTACAGGGATGAAAAGTCAAGCAAGGATGGATGCATCCTCTTTTTTTGTTTTTTTATTGTTTTTTGTGGAGAGTTACCACTGAGCCATCCTCTCACAGTGGCTCCCTCTCTGTCTCATTATCGGTCCGTCGATTGGATATCTCTATCACCTTTGGGATCGTTAGCTGTTGGCCACACTCTTGATGTATCATCCACTGAGACAGCTTCTCCTGCAGTACGAACTCGCCTTTAGCGTCATCTGTTCCATTTTGATGAAATACAGTAAAACTCACTGACAAAATTGCCACAAAGTAGGCTGTGTTGTGGTTTGGACTATACAGTAGATTGTTGCACATTGCTCGTCAGTGACTGTTTTGGTGGTTTCTCAGAGTTTGCTTTGCAAAAGTATTCATAACTGCTGAACTTTTTCAAAGTTTGTCACATTACAACCAGAAACCCCAGTGTATTTTATGGGGATGTTGTGACAGAGCAACACAAAGTAAGGAGCAAGTCAAGGATACATGTTTTCTGAGTCACACCATCTTCCACTGGACCTACAGAACGTAGACTGGGCCACATTTACTCACAATTAAGCTTTGATTTAAACTCTTCTTTGTACAATTGTAGCTCAAGGTTGTGTGTTTGGGGTCATTGTCCTGATGGAAGTTGTACCTTTGCCCTTATCTCAAGTAACCTCGGTCTCTAACAGGTTTTCTTCCTGGACTGCCCTGTATTTAGCGCCAACTCTGGTCAGTTTCCCTGTCCCATTTGTAAAAAAGCATGACTACAACATTACATTGTCACAGACAGAGTAACAGCAAGTACTATTTTTCTATATCCACTGAACATCTTGATTCAGACCGAGATGAACTTAAACACAATTGAACTTTGTTTACTATTTATTAGAGATTAGAAGTTTTGGAATATACAAACTACAAATGGTACATCACATAAATATCAAAATTAAAGGGACCATAGACTTTAATTCGTGGTACATTGAAGAGGTTTGAACATAAATTCATTCAATATTTTATGTCTGCATGTACAGATCTAAGTTTGCAGAATCCCAAACTGATTTGGGATCCTGGGTTTTTGTGAAAACAAGTGTTAAGATATGACCGAATGGTTGCCATGGGAGATTCAAGGATTTCCTCAAACAAGCATGGAAGAAACAAAGCTACACCCAAGGTATGTTTTTTGATAAGGGAATAACATTAAAAGATGATAAAGCTCAAAAAAGTTGATTTTACACCACTCACCCGTTTAAGCTACACAGTGAGAATCTCTTCAAGGCTCATTTCAACCACTGAGCATAAAAAGCAGATCATCGTGGACAGATGTCTGTTTACCAGCCAGTGCAAACATAAAAACAATTCATTGCAATAAAACTGCAGGTTGTAATTTTCGCAGAGGAAAATATTTACATACCACCGGCATGATTGATAAAGTTTAAACTTTTAGGAGCAACCTTTTAGCTCTCTCATAAGGTTTCTTTTTTATCAGTTTAATCACACATATTAAATAGCTCCAAATGCAATTAGAAATCTAATTTATCTTCAGTGTTTGTGAACAAAGTATTGTCTTTACAGCATGCAGAAAGACAGATGTCTCCTCTTTCTCTGTCTGCAGCTAAGGCTGTTCAAGGTACCATTTAGCCAGATGTATTTGGTATTCAGAAAGAACTAGTTTGTCTGTAAACACGGATCCACTGATACTCCTAACATGTGCATGCACACAGATATTAAAAGTATTAATAATGAGGGCTAATGGCCATAGAGACCTAAGAATTTGTAATTTTTCATACGTTTGAATAAAGCGTAAGGTCTGAGACACATTACTTCCATAAAGCCTTCAAAATAAAAGTCTTTAATGAGCCAATTCATCTAATTAGAATAGCCCTCAGCATTGTTTCTGCTTGTTAAACACAGCAGCCTTGATGCTGGGTGGTTGTGTGTTTGTGCTGCAGACTCATCAACTCCTAATACGTTTGTTCATTTTTATAGGCAGAATTAGATGGAACTTTGTTTGTTGCTGCTTGTCAAATAAACTAAAAACAACATGTTGGATGCATAACTAAGGATGCACAGCAGACGGGGAGCGGAATATTATATTTACTTCTTTAACACGAAGCAGTTATAGGTTGCTTTACCAACAATAAACATAGATTTTATGTCTGAATTTCTATTATGGTATGTTTATGTGTGTTTTTATTTTTTGTGCAGTATATCTCACAGTGTTTCCCTGTAATTGACTGGAAAGTCATCCAGGATGTCCGCTGCCACTCCTCCACTGACTGCTTGAGATAGGCACCGGCTTCCCATTTAAACCTCCCTTGTGAGGTTTAATAGAGTAGCATAGAGGATGGAAAATGTAGTAAACACATCAGACTCTGCACAGATTTTTCTTCTGGCGGTGTATCACGGTGAAAGTAATGCCTCTCTTTAAAGATTTGCAAGTATAAAACTTGATAAACTTTTTAACTTCTACTTTGGACATTATTCCCTCTTTTATCACAAACAAATAAATTGCAAATCAGAAGACATTCTGTGTTTGTTGGTATGTTAACTTATGACAGTGAGTGAACTGAAATGAGAAGAAAATGGAAAAAAAAAAAAAAACTACTACAACGAATAAAAACAATCTTTGTACATTAACTTCACTTTAGCATTTGTATGATGGAATATTTCCAATACATTTTTTATAAGTATAATAAGATTCTTTATTTTACTTTCAGTCTGCATGGGAAATGACAAGAATGTGCAGCAGATATGCACAAAGATAAAAGTATTAGGTGCACCAGAGCATCAAGTGCAAAGGTTTATCTATCATATGTTCCCTGTTTTAAATTTGCTCAAACAATGAGAGAGACTTCCCAGTATCGATGCAAAACATTGATGCTAGTAACTTTACTTGGGTGGATGAACTAAGACATCAGCAGTACCAGGTTAATACACGAAGCTTGACAGGACTAGTTTATAAACCAACTAGTTCAGCAGCAGGCCAGTATATTCCTGCCAACCTTGAGGTAAAATTTCTGCTTTTTCAGAGGAGGCCTGAGGTTTGAAGGGAGCAGTTTCAGTTCACAAAAATCCAATTCTGTCTGTAGCAGGAGACCGATTAGCCTCAGCGCTGATTCTCTTACCTGCTTTTACTGAGGGATCCTGACAGTGAGCTACTGTGAGTAGTCATGGATATACGTGTACTTCTCACACACAAATACTCCTTTAAGATGTCAAAGAAACTCTAAATATATATATATATATATATATATATATATATATATATATATATATATATATATATATATATATATATATATATATATATATATATATATGAAAATAATTCATTTTCAGATCTCGGAAACAAACTATCATTTTTTTTTTGTCTTTACATTGTACTTGTAAGACGGACTAGTTACCTCTGAGTTTGGTAATTATTTTTTTTCTTCTAAGTAATTGGTTAACTAATTGGTTGACTTTTGCTTTAGTCTAATTCACAGCAGGCTCAGTAGTCCAGTGCTATTAATACTTTTAATGAACTTT